CTTGTTTTCAGTAAGAATGCATTCTTTATTTCAAGGCTACAAAGGCTAATCAAAGTTATCACAAGGTCGATATCTTCCCCCACCACTGTAACGTTCATTTGAAGGGGCCAACAAAAGAGCTGTTCTGATAATTAAGATACCGTATTAGATATATGAATATAAATTGTGTGCACGTTTCTAGTAGTTTTTCTTGGATTATTGCAGGATTCAGGAAATGATTAGCACTTATTACACAGTTATTATATCGTTATTAAATTATAAGTTTATTGAAAACTATATGAACAATGACTTTTTCGTACTTCCGGGACTAAAGTAAGAACTTCACTCCATTATGACAAGTACTGAAGTGTCACTTTTTGTCCCGCCGGGATTAAATTTAGACGAAAATCCCGGAAGGATGAAATTACTAACAAGGCAATTTCAGTAGGTTGTTCCACATTTTGTATGCGGCACTACTTCTTAAACGCATCGTACTGCTGCTCATATAGTTTTTTGGATTTCGGTGGTATCAATTCTATACCTAGTTTGTCTGCTTTTTATCAATATCAAATTTTGTCACCCACCACTAAAATTATGACACTAGCAATGACAGTTTCCAAATTATTTTTGTTACCATAGCATAGGAATTGTCATACCAACGCAACGTTCCTATGGTAACTGGTTAATCAGCGATTTTTTTAAAGAACGCGTTCTCTAACTCCATACATATTAAGTGTTTCGGTTTCGGAAGTACGAAAAATATCGTATATACCTTGCGACTGAAGTAGTTGTCTTAATCCCTCAGGTAAATTATGGCCCTCCCTTCGGTCGGGCCATAAACTTGACCTTCAGGATTAAAAGTACTACTTCAGTCCCGCGGTATATAATATACTATTATTACATCTGACATTAGAAAATTACTTGATCCGAATTCACGTATCAATCATTTTAACAAATTATTTTCAACACTTACCCTTGATATGTGAATTATTCTTTATGGACTATTTCATATTTAGAAATACCTAATATTTCTAAACATTTTTGATGCTTTGGCTTCGGTAATCCCTTTGTCATTATATCTGCAGCCCATTTCCTTCGTAGATAAGTATGTATTCGATTTTTGGACCCTCCTTACTTTGAATAATCTCTCTTATCAAGTGATGTTTCACATCAATATGTTTAGTTCTGCTGTGAAAAACTGGGTTTTTCGACAACTTTATTGCTCCATTGTTGTCACAGAACAATATTTGCTCAAATCCGAGTTCTGTAAGAAATCGATGTAATGTAAGTAAACAGATTCCTTTGCAGCTTCGGTTAACGCCATGCTTCAGTAGACGATAAAGCTGGGGTGCTCTGTTTTCTCGATTCCCATGAAATTGAACTTCCTCCTAAAATGAATGTGTATCCAGTATACGATCTTCTACTGTCGACACAATTTGCGTAGTCCGCATCCACGTAACCTTTTAACGAATCTGCTGTCTTCTGATATTTTAGACCAATGTTTGACGTACCCTTTAGATACCGGAGTACTCGTTTTGCAGCTATCCAATGTGTCTTGGTGTAACAGGAGTTGTACTGGCTAAGATAACTGACTACGTGAGCTATATCAGGTCTCGTAGAAACTGCTAAATACATTAATGATCCCACGAGTTTTATTTTCTCGTATAGGGAATGGAGTTCTTGTCATTTTTCCTTGAATATAGATTTCGCATTCGAGACCATTCCTGACTGCATCGATGTTAATACCTCTAATAGTACCCTTTCTTGAAGCTTCTTGAAGATCTTTAAAGTTTACGTGACCCAATCTTCGATGCCATATTTCGATATTATTTAGTCTCGATTCTTTCGTCGTCACTTCTGGTACAGAATTGCATTCATTCGTTTCTTCTTGAATTATGTACAATTCGTTTATTCTCCTTGCTTGGAGAATCAACTTCCCAGTTTCCTTGTCGACGATATTTGCGGTTTTATCATTGAAAGTGACTATCATCCCATTGTCTGTTATTTTTCCCACAGATAGGAGATTCATTCTCAAATCTGGAACGTAGAACGTATCTTGAATTTTTATTTCCTTGACTTTTCCGTCAAAATTCGACTTAATTTCCACTGTTCCTTTTCCTTTGATCTCTGTAAATGAATTGCTGGCGAGTTTTAGTTTCCCTCCATTTGTATTCTGCAGTTTTGTGAAACTTTCCTCATCTTTGCATAAATGTGACGTACATCTGCTATCAACACACCAATTGTTTTTCCCATAATTGAGTAATCCTCCAAAAGCTTCTGGTACAACTTCAGAGTACATTGTTGTAGCTTCCACGTTGTTTGCTTTAGCGGAATTGTCTGGCTTTTCTTTTCGGTTACAAAATTTTGCCATGTGTCCTTTCTTTCTACAGCGGTTGCATTTATACGGAAATTTCTTTTCCTTTTCAATTTCCTCCGATGACTTTTTATCGAAATTCTTCTTTGCGACCATGGCATTTTGTATTCCTGTTTCTGCATGGTGCTTCCTTGAATCTCGACATTCAATGATTTTGATTCTCAGTTCTTCGGGGTCCGGTAATGTGTCTTGAGACTCCATTGTGGTGCATAATACCTCAAAACTTGGCGGAAGGCTTAGTAAAATGAGATAAGAAAATAATTCCTTACTAGTTTCCAGTGACAGTTCTTTGAGTTTCTGCCACGTTGTAAACATCTCATTTAAATGTTTCCTAACATCCTCTCCGTCTTCTAGTCTCGTTACCGCTCATTTTCTGACCATCATTGATTTTCTAAGTGGTCCTTGCGTCACATGAATTTTCTGCAGTTTATCCCACATTTCTTTTGACGTCTGACAATCATTGGTTAATTCAATTTGCTCACCGGTCATTGCAAGAGTCATCAAGGATTGTGCATGCTCATCCTTTTTCAACCAGACTTTTCTTGCAATTGTTGATGCTGCTGTCGAATTTCCATTTTCTTCGAATTGTAATTCTGGTTTCACATTTTCTCCTGATGTGAATTCCCATAAGTCATCCAGATTTAAAATCGCCTTCATTTGCCGACATCATGAACGATAATTTTCGTGTGTCAGTGGTTCAATTTTTGCTGGTCCATACGATGTCATTTTTTCTTCAAATTAAAAAAAATGTTTCCCACGTATGTTTGTCCAGTTTGCCACGACAATACAATCTCAGGGCGTACTATTTTCGTACGGATAATAATTACCTACTTTATTAATGGTTCGTGGCACTAAATAAATTGAGGAAAAATTAGAGCTAAGGAGTTTTGCCAACTAACGAGGAAAACTAAAAGAAAAGAAAATAGGACACCAAAGGAAAATTTTAATTCTTCGTAATATGTGCGCAGATAAGGCAAACAACTAATCTATGCATCAAAATTCGTTCCTATAAATTGACTTTAGGAGAAACCGCACATCTGGCCAGCTGATTGGTGAACAATGTGTATTTACATAAGTCTGAAGGACAATCGTTGTGCAGGTTATTACAATTAATCTTCTTATAATTAAGGATTGTTCTTAGGGACAACACAAACACACAAAAACTTAGCTGAGAGATGATGACTGGCGGTTGAGGAACGATGATGGACGGTGATGGAGATACCATGAAGAGGAGCTAAAGAAATTGAACCCGACGTTGGTTATTAGATTTCTATATGATTTCTTGCCAACAGTAGGATATCCAGTGATGTACAGTACACGAAAAAAACCCTATATAAAACGAATTAATGTAATCTAGACTGTAAGAGCGCATACTTCACTTTTGATTTGACAATGCTTACCTCTAGGGACAGGGTTTCTGCTATAAGATTTTTGACTTTTATTGATTATTGAATAGATCTTCTTAAATTTTTCAGTAGGTGAACGCTTTAAATCCCCAAACTGGGCCGGATAAGACAAGGTAACTATGCGTCGAACGGCAACCAGAAATCCAGAGCAAAAATGCCAAATCAACCCCTTTAAAGGTTTTCAACACAATAATTTTCTTTGGCCACTTTCGGAGCGTTGTCAACGGTGCCTTCAAAATCGAATATCAAAAATACAATTGACTGAAATTTTATTGTTAAGCGAGAAAGCGCATTCACGATAACGCATGTGTATGAGTTTACATATTTAAATATTAATGTTATTTACCATTAGCGTCCCTACAGTATGGGCTAAGGTGTTTTTTAAAAAAAAGGAATGGACTGTTACAAGTTATTATGATGTAACTAATTTATTTCCACAACTTCCTGGTCTGGGCCCATAACCTCTTGGATTATTGCAGGATTCAGGAAATGATTAGCACTTATTACACAGTTATTATATCGTTATTAAATTAGAAGTTTATTGAAAACTATATATGAACAATGACTTTTATTACATCTGACATTAGAAAATTACTTTTAATTACTTGATCCGAATTCACGTATCGAACCAATCGACAAACGAATTCTGTTTGAACCGTTTACACTATGAAGTAAATTCGCCTGAAGGAATTTTAAATATTAGATAGAAATGACTGTAAACAACATAATACACATTTGGATGCTAACAATCATTTTAACAAATTATCTTCAACAGTTTTTTTATTATTTTATTTTTGTGGTGTTCGTTTCTATTCGGCAGAATTACCTACTGCAGGGAGACCGCATGTCTTAAGAGGCGACTATCAACGGTGGGTTGACTAACAACAGGTCCTTTGGAAGTTGGGATGTTTTAGGATTGAATCGACCTTTGTCAAATTTACCACTGTTTCCGTTGTATTTTTGTGTGACTTGCTTTTCACTCCCTTATAATACCAAGCGGGGTGCAAATGCACCCCAACGTCTGTATTTTGGTCATAATTTTGACAACAAATTTTTGTGACTTCTGTGGTCGTTGGTAATTGTAGTTTTTAGTCTTCTGGGCATCTCCTATACATTATTTGATTTTATATAATTTTTCTAAACAAAAATAATTGAGACAATACACTCTGGGGTGCGTTTGCACCCCGCTTGGTATCGGACGCTTGTTGAATTTCCGTCATATAAATCATGCGTATTATGAATTGGTTCTTTCAAGACGCATGCGTCGGCTGCTTGGCAATATGGCAACATTTGTATTAGCCAGTGATGTGTTAGACAGCATACAGGTAGTGTTGTCCGTTGATTGAATTTTTCTGTTTGGTGTGAATTCGTGATAACGATGAGCCGGTTACGTTTTCGTGATGAAAATAACCTCACAGAAGCGGAAATGCTGATGTTACTTGAAGAGGATGATACGGAATACGACGCGCTGATTGAAGAAGATGCCGCAAGTGATATTGAAGATAACGACCATGTATCTGACCAAGAAGAAGTTGATGACCTAATTTGTGCAAATGATGAAGAAACAGAACCGCTGCAGGTTGACCAATCGGACTCGTGTGGGGATAGTGATCCGTTTTATATTGCCAAAGATGGTACACATTGGTCTAAGTTACCCGTAAATAAAATTTCTAGACGTTCGCGAGCAAATATCCTTACCGTTGCCCCAGGGTCAAATTCCAAAACATCCAGCATCAAAGACGCATTTTTTTTATTTTTTACTCCAGATATACTGGAAATCCTTGTGCGGGAAACCAACCGTAAAGCTCGACAATATTTTGATGAGTGGAATGCTGCAAATCCCACCCGTACCAAGAAATATGCAGCAACCAATGACACTGAAATTGAAGCATACATAGGCTTATTGATCACCATGGGAGCATTGCAAGCAAGTAGGGAACCCATTGAAATGCTTTTCACTAGTGATCTCGCGTATTGTCGGCCCATTTTTCCTGCAACACTTTCCAGAAATCGATATAATTTCCTAACAAAATTCTTGCGCTTCGATAATTTTGAGACGAGGCAAGAGAGAAGACTTATCGATAAATTGGCACCTGTAAGAGATATTTTTGAAAAACTGGTGTCAAACTGTAAACGTGCGCTCAACCCAAGTCATCATTTATGTGTTGATGAACAACTAGTGCCATTTCGAGGGAAAGCACCATTTCGAGTCTATATGAAAAATAAACCGGCCAAGTACGGAATTAAGATTTGGGCTCTTGCGGATTGTGGTTCGAACTATACTGTGAACATGCAGGTGTATTTAGGTTTTAGTATTCTGTGTCATGTAGCCAACTTTTGTCTGGGTTTTAGGAAAAATAAACAATAAACCAGAAAAAAACCAAGGCGAACGGGTGATCCTTGATCTTGTTGAACATTTAGGTACAGGATACGGTATAACAACCGACAATTTTTTTACAAGCCTTAAGCTGGCTGGTAAACTCTGGGAAAAAAAATTAACGCGCTGTGGAACACTTCGTAAAAATAAAACATTTATACCCAGAGAATTATTGCCCTCTCCAATGAAGCCAGTATTGTCTTCTATGTTCGCTTTCAAAAAGAACCGCACTTTGGTTTCATACGTGCCAGAAAAAAGGCGCGCAGTTCTATTACTTTCCAGCGAACACGAGGATGATAAAGTCAATAGTAAAGATGTGGACAACAAACCAGACATAATCTTACATTATAACAGTACTAAAAGTGCGGTAGATGCAACAGATCAAATGGCCCAAAAGTACACCACGCAAAGAAAGACTGCTAGGTGGCCTATGGCAATATTCTATCACATGATTGATATTGCAGCGATAAATGCCTTCAAAATATGGGTGATGGCTAATCCTGAATATGAAAAGGGCCATTTAGATGCAAGAAGAAGGTTTCTGCTACAATTAGGCAAAGATTTATCTAAGGATCACATAATGTTTCGTTATAAAAATAATAATGGTTTGAAGGCGAATATAAAAGAATGTATGCTGAAGGTTTTTCCTGAAATGAAAGAAGAAAGAACACCACAAGAACAACCAGAGGCAACTCAAGGTCGATGTTATCTTTGTACAAGAGTCAAAGACCGAAAATCAAGACAGTTTTGTATACATTGTTGCCAGTTTAGATGTCTAGAACATTCCCAAAAACAAGTGTTATGTCTAACATGTAAAAATAAACAATAGTTACCCATTTCTTAAATTTATGAAGCCTGAGTTAAATAAAGGTTAAATATCACTGATTACATATTTTTCCATTCAACCAGAACCTAATAGAGTAAAATTATGTAGAAATACTGTAATTATATGTAAAAAATTAATGGGGTGCAAATGCACCCCGCTTGGTAACGCACGTAAGAATAAGAGCTTGGTATTATAAGGGTTTTAACCCATACGAACCTACCAAAGCTACCAGAACAATTCCTTAACCCTCGTTATTTGCATCAAGGAAATTAAATATTTTTCTCGTGATGAGAAGCAGTCACCTATCCCACATTTTTTAGCGCATTTCCACAAAAATAAAAAATAAATGCGCTATTGTGGCCACTTTGTCCGTCCGTCCGTCCGTCCGCTAACTTTGCGACGCTACTAGTTTTTTATCTTAAGAGCTATTGTTCTACTTTTTTCGCTATTTGGTTTGTTATGGTGTCGAGTCTTGTACCAAGGAAGGAATTTTTTCTGTACCGCTTACAAAAAAAGTTATTGTAAAAAAAAACAAAAAACCGTTTTTTACATGTTCCATAATTTTACACTTTTGCCGTTTATTAACGATCCTAGAGACCGTTTATAATTTTGCATTGCTATCTGTCGCCTGCCGGTTGGTCGCTCCGTCTGTTCCTTTGTCTGTCTGTCCATCTATCTGTCCGTGTGAACGATAACTTTGTTTAGAAATGTTCGATCGCTTTTACATCTCCGTTAGTTATGAACTGAATTGCATGAAATTCAATATTTGCATAGCTTTAACCATATAATACGCAATGCCAAAAGTTGAATCGAATCGATTCAAAATTCACAGTGCCCTTTTCGCATCTCGACCATTTATAAACCGAATTGCAAATTTTTTACTTATAAAAGTATTTGAATGAAATTTGATACATAGGCACTTGGAATAAAGGAAAATCAAACGCCAATTTCAAAATTTGGTTTTGCGCATGCGGAGTGCCAACTTTTTTATTTATGGAAGAATTTAAACGAAATTTGATACATAGGCACTTGGGATAAAGGAAAATCAAACGCCAATTTCAAAATTTGGTTTTGCGCATGCGCAGTGCCAACTTTTTTTATTTATGGAAGAATTTAAATGAAATTTGATACATAGGCACTTGGAATAAAGGAAAATCTAACGCCAGTTTCAAAATTTTATTTTGCGCATGCGCAGTTCCAACTTTCTTATTTAGAAAAACATTGAAATGAAATTCTTCTCATAAACTGAAATTGAAGTAGCACGTCAACAATGGATTGCCCATGTGCAACGCTATCTTTCATATTTGTGGCCGGATTTTTACGAGTTTAACAGAAGTTGCATCTTACAAATGGGAAATGAATGCAAGTGGAAATGCGCTTTATGTAAATCGTTTACGATTACTTTTTAACTTGTTATCCTTTATACAGTTTTAGTTGACTGCATTAAGACATAATAATAACACTTTTATTCAACGATTAAGAGAAGTTCACTTTGATCCTAACGGAACTTACTTTTAATTGTAATTAACCGTCTGCGTGTATGTGGGGTAGTGTGGCTGGCGTATAGGTAGGTACCTGAACGCTCCACTTCCATACAATATTAAATTATATCGTTTAAAACTTAATTCCTTTAACATGTAGTTGTCAAAGCATTTACTAAGTAGATGAACGTAATTAAAATTAATGGGTACCTACGTACCAAGTTTTTGTTTCACGGCATACGACTACAAATTTACTTGGAACGAAATAATTATGAATGATGCCAATTTCGATTTCGTGAAACATTTATACATCGATCGTGTTAGATTGATCAAAAGAAATAAAATAGCTCGGCACCCAATATTTTCACTCAAAAGTCATTGCTGCACGTCCTGGACTAAACAAAATTGTCTCCAATTTATGCGGCATTCCGTGGTGTACACCTGGGGTCCTCAAAGTCCAGGTTGCGGGTATGGCACCAACGGAAAGGTTGCCATTTCGAACATTTGTTTTAAGTTGATAGATTTGCTTTTTCACTTTAGTGAAACTACCCAAACCTTTTTTTAATTTGTTAACCATATATTTTTAATTTTGGATCTTTTGAAATGTGTCTTTTTTTAAGTGGAAATTTTGTAGTTTTGGCAATCCAGAGCTATAATTTCTTTAGGGGGGTGCCATCCGAAATTTTAACAAGTAGTGTGACATTTAGCGAGGGTCAATGAAGAAGTTCGACAGAATGGTTATAACAGCGAAGTCGATAAAGTTAACGGTATAATATGTTACAAAAAAGGTACTATTTGGACTACTTTCCTAAATATGGGTTGTTTCATTTCCAAAAAACGTAAAATTGATACGCCACTGGTGCCCAGAAATATATTAGAAACAGTAACTGTGTACAATTTTGCTCCTACATTTTTTTCGATATCTTTTATGGTAAAGGAATTATAATCCATCCAATCCGTCGTTTCTACAGTTTGCCGAAGCACATTTATTTATATAATTACATAACAAGAACCACCCCAAATTAGTTAAAATTAACCAGAGGTAGGACAGAGTGGAAGAAGTAATTGTAACATACGTTTCAGCGAGTTTTTTGCATGAATTAGAAACTATTGAATGCACCAATTTGTATTAAACTTCTATCTTCGATCAAGCGATTACTTTTGATGCCATCATGCTTGAAAGAATAATTCTCCATGAACTAGAGAACAAAGGCAATTCAAGACAACGGAAGTTACAATAAGTATTTATTTATGAAGAAGTCAAGCTTTTTGATTCACTCTGAGTATTGCTTGTATTCATGTGCTTGGAATCGATAAAAAAGACTAGCGCCTTTTCTAATGAAAATGTTTATTATTTTTGTATAAGACATGCAGTACCTATACAGCTAAAAGCGATGAAAATATATCGCGTAGGTGCCCTCTTCATACAATATTGATGTAAAGTAGAAATTTAAATATCTGAAGACATTTTTATTTGAATCTCAATAAATCTTTATGTTTATGTAAAGCTTCAAATGCAAGCTTTACTTTTTTATTCGAACGTTGAGCTTTTTTTTTCTAATATGAAATGAAATCGATTAGATATTTGCGTCTTTTTCTGCAAGCGTTTATACAAGATTGGATTTAGCGTAGGAAACGAAATTAGGCAGAGGTTGTAAAGCTTATGAGATGCTAACCCGAAAAAAAAGGGCGGGTTTAAGGTTCTAATAGGAATGAGAACGCAATTTCTGACAGTGACGTGTAATGAAATGAGATATTACGCGTGATTAGAATAGGGCATGTGCGCTAGATAATACCTACTATAAACCAATTTTTACGTCATTATATCAAAGAAACACGTCTGTAAACAGATTCGATTACTTCCAGAAAGCCAATATATTTGTCTTAGTTAAACTTATACGATTTACAGAAAAGAAAAGTAAGTTATAGGGCGCAGTAAATAAATTAGAAATGTACGAAGGTCGTTTCATAAGTGTCCTGTTCATCACAATGATACAGGATCAGAAACCCAGAATGGTTGTAGGACAATTCGCACCCGAATAATTCGCACCAGAATTTCGCTCCCCTGAGAGGGTATTTTGTGTATGGTTGACTTTTAACATAGAAAGTCGGCTGTGAAGTATTAAATTAACTCAGAGCTTGAAATCTCCAATATTACTCACCAATATCACGTTTTATTACTTTGGGCATGTAATAGACGTATAGCTACATTTAAAATTTGGATACTTTCAATATTAAGGTATAATTTGGAATCGTGACGTCCATTTTGTGTTCAAACTCTAAATGGGATAATTTATTAATATTGAATAAAAGTTCTCTAAACCGTTCCCATATAATTTAATAAAACGAAGTGATACACTACATGTTTCGACCAACGGTCATCTTCAGGTGATCTACAAGATGGTAGAGATATCATTGAGGAGAGACTATAGCTATAAAACTTACAATATACTCGTAGATGGAAAACAATTAAAAACCCAAAAGGACAGTAAAACTGGAAAGCCCAACGACCATATCCGTGGTTGGTTCCAGAGTAAAATTGGAATTTGAAGAGTACGTAGAGTAGATAAACTAAATTTTTGCAAGAGAGGGCCGAACCTAAAAACTAACATTAGACGACGGTATAAGCAACGATGAAACTTACGTATAAAAAAGTCATAAGGTCAAAAACGAAATCCTAACTAATAAAATACCCAAATAAGGGCTTTGAAACTGGAAACCATCTGCACTTCCAAAATCAGTGCACGGTTTAGCTAATCTTACTTTGTCGTCGTTGACCCAGATCGTGGCATTGCATGTTAAACTAAGAGCCGATGGATCTTTCTTTGCTCTTCTCGCTCGACACAGCCATGATGAGCAGTTTTGGAGTTTAAGGTTCTTAGCAAAGAGGTGTACATGTATCCTTCATAGATTATGTATCTCTTTCCCCTTTTCGTTGTACCGAACTCCATTGTTACACGCCCGTATAGTTTGCACCGCCTAAATCTCATATCCATTATCAACTTTTTGTAACAAATCAAATTTCAACTTTTAGCCTCAGGGACAAGTCCATTTTTGATGATATTTTCCTTGATTTTGGCATTTTAATGTGGCACTTAAATATTTATGTTGGTTAAACAATAGCCATACAATTTGTAGAGGAATAATTTTTTTAATAGTATTTATGAGGCAAGAATTCATACGTACAATCCTATGTACCTTTTTAAATGGAATGGACCATATCAAAGCAGTGGAGATATTAGGTCACTTTAATAGCATCCATATCACTCAAAATCTGGAATTTAGTACTTATTTTATTGTAATCTCCGTATTAAACATGAGAACACTTGCTAAAGGTACCATGAATGAAAATTTATTTTTAAAAAAAACAAAAAAAAAGGTAAAAAGACACTCATCCGTGATGTAAATTGTCCATGCACTCATGTTCACAAGTAGACGGATGCTGCTAAACGCTGGTATCGGTCTATCAGCAAAACTGTCACCTGACATTTCTTAAACCTATTTACCCAGTTGTATTGTACC